AGGGCATATTATGGCCAAATATGCCCCTCTCAAATGGGTATATTATGGCCAAATATATCCCTCTCAGACGGGTATATTTGGGCTCCAATTTGGGCCCCAAATCACTCCAAAACGTTGTCATTTGGATTCCCACGTACCTCGATGTTTGGATGCCGGATGTTGCTGTCCCAAAGCAAAAGCTTGAAACTTTTGAGTTGCAAAACAATTAGTCCAGGGGTTGCCCCATCTTAAACCAGAACATTGAGATGTGTAAGTGGTGCATTCATCCAGGGTATTTTAGTTAATTGGGCGTTTGACCATTGATTTTGGTCCATTGAAAGCGCGAGAGAGAGAGAGAGAGAGAGATATATATATACCCCGGTGAGATGTGTATTTTTGGACATTTGGAAAGTGGTAAATTACCCTTTTGAGATGGGCACATTCGAAGTTTGAGAGGGGTTTATTTGCCCCTTTGAAAGGGGTATTTTTAGACGTTCGAGAGGGGTATATTATACCTTTGAAAGGAGTCTTTTTAGACGTTCGAGAGGGGTATATTATACCTTTGAGAGGGGTATTTTAGACCTTTGAGAGCGGTATATTATACCTTTGAGAGGGGTATGTTATACCTTGGAGAGGGGTATATAATAGACAGATGAGAGGGGCGGTATATTATACCTTTGAGAGGGGTATATAATAGACAGTTGATAGGGGTATATAATAGGGAATTAGAGGGGTATATTACCCTAAAGAGTTACTGTTAGAGGCAATCCCTAATATATATGTGTGTGTGCGAGTACGTAGGTCTGATGAATTTCTCGTTCAAGACTCTCATTTGGCTGGGAAACTCAATCCTTAGCTCCTTGGGCCCCCATTGAATCGGGAATATGGATACCTGTTTTCGGCCTACCCCAAGCGCTCCTTGGTTCCCTCCTAACCACTGGGTAGATCAGCTCCCATTGGTCAAGCCTTCTTCGTTGTCTTCTTCGGTGGCGTCTCGGACTCAGAGTCGCTAGAGCTGCTACTCTTCGGCTTTGTGGCCGGCATGGCCACAACACGGCGCTGATGTGAGTCCCGTCCGGAAGAATGGTGGGTTTTGATGGATGTCTCATAATCTTCGGACGAAATTCATTACTCATTTTTGATGCCATGAAGGTAATGAAGGTTGTGCACACCCCTCAGGAAGGCCAAGGCGAAGCAAAACAAAAATAATATTACAATAATTTTGTCGGTTACTCATGAGGATGATGAAAATCCAAGATGAAGAGGTCACCTTTTTGCAATCTAGAAATGATAAATCTCACTTTTTGGGCCGATATGTTTGTGAAGATATGATGGCGGGTGGACACACACAAATATATATATATATATATCCAACATCAAGACTAGCAGCTGTTTGTCCAACGCTCATGTATCTAAAATCAAACGCTTACTCCATTCCTCATACACCAGGCCATGCAAAGCGGAACCAAAAGAAACCCATTTTTTTGGAAGAAAAACCAATGGCAAAAGTTTGGGACCCCCTGGAATTTGATGTTATAGAAACCCATAGAGACTTCCAATGTTTGGAACAAAAAACTGCAGATGTTATCAAATCCATGGAATGTATAGGGACTCCCTGGCGGGTCCGTCATAGCCACTATCTTATTGGGAGTCCCGTCAGCTAGGGGGTCACTATGATTTCCCCTCATGTTGGTAAAGCAATATCATGATCCATCCATCTTTTGATGGTTCATTTAATGATAAAAAATAATATAATGGTGGATCCTATACTGCGTTATTAACGTAGTAACCACTGATCAAATGTTCATGAACATTCAGCCGCCATTCCGCCGCCGTGGCCTATGCAAACCCAGGCGTCTTTCTTCAAGCCCTGCAGGGCGCAGCACAACAGCACCGCATGGTCCTGACGAAAAGTCTCACCACATTTGCCACCCATCAACGGTCAAAAACACGCTACGATATCTCGATACAAATATATACTAAACAAAGTGTGTATATGTGTATATATATATATATATTGCAACATATATATATATGTATAGTGTACGTTGACAATGAAAAACTGATAAACATCTACAAGACTCTACAAGTATGCAAATATGTATATATATATATATGTATGCACATATATATATATATATATGTATGCATATATATATATATATATATATGTGCATGTGTGCGACTTCTTTATGCGTGATCATTTCATATCGATGTATGTATATATATATATATGTACATAAACTGATATGGATAAATGATATTGGTTCAGCCAAAACGACGCGTTCTTTTAGGCGTAGTTTTATCCATAAGCGACGAACCGCGCCGGTGTTTGTCCCTTTCAGATGGTGATATAGATCATCTAAATACATGCGCTATACATCACCATAGTTATAATGTTGGTTTATAGTATAACATACTAATAAACATAGCTACCATAAACCCAAAGTTATTGGAGTAATTATTTCTAACTTAGCTAACTAACCACAACCATATCGCCATTCATATCACCATTAATATCATCCATATCTCATCCATACGTGCAATATATGACCAACCGCCGGCCCTTTTTTGGATCTCCTGTACAGATCCACGTCGCAAGGCCAGGATCTAGGCACAAAAAACGTCGCTAAGGGCCCCTTTTACGACTATCCTTGACTCATGGCTGTTGGGTAAAAGCTATGGTTAAGAAATATCAGATACTGGGGAGATAATGGGATATATATATATGTAATCTTGGTAAATAATCATATTTCATTGCATCATATTTTACTAAGCTGAAAGAAGGCAATATCCATAGGCAATTCATGGACCAGTTGGGGGTCGTCTATTGCTGTCGGCTCAGCACAACTGGTTCAAAGTTCAAGGGGATGCTGACGGAAATTCTGAAAGCGATCTTGGGCTTGCAAAGAACAAAACAACATCTATGAGGTATCTGTATGGATATCAGTCAAAATGCTGGGATCCTAGCTACCCTAAAATAGCTGCTTAATGGATGTTTATTCTCCGAAATATGGTCGGTTTTGACCCAATATGTTTTTGGGTTTCTGTTGCTGCAACTCCATCTCACAAGACTTCCACAATATAGGTTTGTTTCCAAGTGGGAGAGGCTCCAAAAGGCTAATCTTTATGGAATAAAGACGAATAAAGTAATGATAGTCCGTTGGAATTGAGGGTGTCCCATTGCCAAACAAACAAACCAATACATTAGACATTATATATTGCTGGAGACAATGTATATAATGTGGTAAACCCAATTGCAAACCATCCCCAACATGACCACAAGTGGGTTGTATAACCCATCCCAACTGGTAGCTTTATTGAGTTTACAGTTTACCACGCTAAGACTCGAACTCATGGATGACTCACCCGGTCTTTACAGCTTCAGGTCTAGACGGTCTAGACCCCCCAGGCCGCCGCACGTCGTTGGGAGTTTGCCACTCGTTGATTTGGCCAACTGCCCTGCCACAGGGGAAGGATCCTCTCAAAATACGAACAATCACAGGCCTTTGGCTTGATTTGTGGGTATCCAAAATGTGTGCAGCGCTTGCACATGACATCACATGATGAACAAAGACTCAGTTTGGACATGTTTGGATATCATATCATTTTACCCTGCCCTCTGCACCTCTGCCGCGCAGGTGCGCTGAACTCAATACACCTCAGCTTTAGAGTTCCAGGCAACAATCCAGGGGGTCAATCGCCAATGAGAGGTCCAATACCTCAACGACATCAGGGGAGCATTAAATCATGGCGTAATCAGAACATAGTAGATATCTGCCTACGCTCCGGTAGTGTATGTGTGTAGGCAGTTTGTATTTTTTACATGGGGTGCCCAGAATTGTCCTGTTGATAATTTGCCATCAACAATAAAGTGCCAGCCCACCCCAAGGATCAACTTCGCATAAATTCACATCCCTAGCAGTAACCCCAAAAGTCAATTGGTTCTGGTGCATTACCTTGCTGGCCTTACCTGAACCAGGTGAAGATGTGTTTTTCTCCTCCAGGATTACCCCGCAAAAGAAACAAAGAACGATTCAGCAAGCATTTCAGCAATTTTGCCAGCAAAACTCTGTTCCTACTCAATTGTATACATCCAATTACCATCTAGTAATCAAACATTTGGCGTGCTGAAAAATCCACAAACCTTCGATGACTTCCTTTCTGAAATCAGCGGCATTTCGGGGTGTCCTCCTGAGCTTCGAACTTGATCCAGTGCATGATCCCCAGGGGAGATCCCTGGCGCCAGCTGGAATGGTGCTATAATGGAGAAATCATAGTGATATAATGGGCATGTATCATGATTTAACCAACTATAATGGCATACATTGGGATACTGTAATATGATAACATTATACTAATAAATATATAATATCATAGAATATCAACTAGGATGTAACATGATTTAACCAACTAGACTATCGGGGATAATATGATAATATCATATAATATCAAATGCACCCTGTACTTCAACTTGATGGGAAATCCCGTTACGAAATGGGATATTTGAATGGGAAGATCGTAAATAGTGGATTTTCTCTGGCCATGTTTGATTACCAACTCGTAAGCATATAATCTCTTCCCCCTGCCCTCTTGAAATCTAATATAGCATTGGAAAATGGCTATGTTTAATAGGCAAATCAAATCATCTAAAAACGGATAATGCTCCATAACTATATGACTTTACGAGAGGGTGATATTACATACCCTCCTACTAGAAACCTTGCTTAGCCGTGGCATTTATTTAGTTTAGGGGGCCTTTGTATGGGGTACTTAATCTTAGGCGGGCCGATGATCCAAATTTACAGCTTCACTGCTGAATGAGTGTAGTGACACAATCTGCGAGCGATCTATCTATATATCATTACATATCTATATAATATTATATAATCTAATAGTAAGTCCTCCCAAAAACAAACAATGCATATAGTGCATTCAAACAAAAACACATCATCTGGGTTCATAAATCTCCGGCGTTGGATCCCCCTGGCCCCCAGGGGCCCCAGGGGCCCCAGGGGCCCTTATGGGCCCTTCGGCGCCAGCTCAGCAGGTAAAGCCAAAGGCGTCACCAGCCGCGGCAAAGGCAAGGTTTTGCCGCTCCTCAAATGTTTCCAGTGCTGGATTCGGACTGGGAAAGCATACCTTGGAGAGATAATAACCAGAAAAACAAATAACAAATAATAATGGTAATCTTATCACCTCTTTGACACTATTCTATTGGGGTTTTACTTCTTTGAATCATGTTTTTTGTACACGGGGATGCTCTCATACGTTTAAAGATCAATGTATTGACCTCCGCTGAAATCCAGCTAAATCGTTTTAAGGGTGAGGTCCCACCATGGGCTTCAGATTTATTGCCAGTTGATATGATCCGCCCGTGTCTTGATACACAGCAGCGATTTGCGCAGCTGGAATGGTTTTGCAATGTCTTGCCCTCCAAATCTTGAAAGATGGTGTCGTAAATTAATAGACTCTCTAGTTTCTTATTACTAATGAAAGTTTGAAGACCATAGATGCCATAGATGGGATAATATTTTTGTAAAATCACCCATGGGATAGCATCTTCCCACTACTGAGGCGTCCCCACTTGTCTGTGTAGCTGCAAATCCAACGTCGTTTGGCGGGGGAGTCCGGGAACCACACTTGATAGGCCTGGACACAAAAAAAAGCGCTTTGCGGCGTAGCGTGGGGAAGAAGGGAGGAAAAATGAGGAACACACGTGGGCAAAACATGGCAAAACTACAAGATCAAACAAAGGTAAGATTGTCTGCAGGTCTACTGTAGTATGGATTGCCAAGTGGATCCATGTGGGAACAGTTTAAAGTTTAGATGTGGCTCATGCCATGCACAGCTGAACCACCCACCTCATTGAACTCCCGGAAGATGTCATTCCAACCTCTAACCCGGGCCAGACCGTGCTCTGCTTGTGCTTTCAATGGTTTAACGGAACATGTGGAAACCACAGATGTTATTGGTTTTTATCCCCAAATAAGGGTCCTGTAGATGTTCCTCCAATTCTTGCATTCTCTTATACGATTTTGCTCAACGACTTTCAGAAACCACTTCTTAACGCTTGAAGTTTGAAGTCCAAGAGGATACCCAACTATCTACTAGCGACGCAGTGAAATAGCATTGGGCTGTTGTCACAAATCCTGCGATTTCTGAACCTAAATTTGGAGGTACCTACATTGAATTGTATAAGGTCTATGTAAGGGCTATGCAAGGGAATATACCCACAAAATATGCCCTTATATGGTACAGTACTTCCTGTTCGGGGTCCTGAAATTCACATTGACGTTATGATTCACAATGCTTCTACGCTTGGGTGTTGTTTTTGTTTTCACATATGGAAACCTATAAGCTATCTGGTAAGATATTGAAAGTAAAAATAACGAGATATTGTTCCAAGAATTGGGGTTGATCATTCTGACAGATGACACATTTTGTTCAGGACGTGAAAGGAACAACAAAAATAACACGCGTCAGAATATTGCAACATGTTGAAGAGAAATTCAGAGTATAACTGGAGTGTTGCAGTATTGCCAAGATGTGTCAGCATATACAGCATCAGTAGATTGATGATTTCTGGTGGATTATATAACAAAATGGCATAATTAAAGTTTATTAAACCATGGGGAAACTCTTTAAAGTGCCATGCAAAAATCCATGATCCATCCCAATTTTCCATCCCAATTTTCGGTTCTCCCATAGCTCAGTACCGAACGTTGGTATGCCGGTGCCTCGGGAAATCCCGGAAGTATATACCGAAGTAGCATCTTGTAGCTCTCAGGATTCCTCATGATTGGTGTTGGAGAACACCTCAAAGGTCCTGTCTTATTCCCTACCGAAGCGAAACAAGAAAACAGTTTAGATCAGTTTCGTATTGTGTTGTTGAGAGTGGCCACTGCCTTTTATGTTGTGACAACTCCCACCGCAAAGCGCGTTGACCGTTCAGTTCTTTACCCACTGATCCTGATCCTACATGTGGGTACAATATAATTTGCTACTTATTTTGAAACATGATGAAACGTCTATGTCAGCTTGTACTTGTTGATGTTTATCAGTTCTGCTGTTTCCGTCCAAAGTGCATATCACTATGTCGCAATATGCTCATTCTGCGTGGCAGCCGCTAAAACAAAAAAACAACAAACATCACAGAATGACAGCACTTATCTACAAGTATCTAGTGTAATCTAATCTGATCTAACTACATATCTAATCTAATCTCATCAAATCTAATCTAGCGAATTCCTCCATCTATCTACACTTACGTCTGTCATTATGCACGTATGTGTCTATCAACTCATCCACTGCTCTGATCTGCTCTGTGCATTACTGTCTTGAATCTACACATACATCTGCCACTGTTCAGTTCAGGTGGAAACTGCTTTGGGAACTGTGAACTTGGCAAACCAAAATGCCAACCAGCTGCCGGTCCCCTCCTTGAAGGCGGGAACTTTAACACAAAAAACATGGTCTGATTGCAGTTTATCTGGTGGACACACCAAAACAAAACAACAGCTTTTGACAATTAATACCTGTACCAAAAAAAGTCCCACATGCCACATGACCAGTCCCGGGCATGACCAGTCCCGGGCATGACCAGTCCCGGGCATGACCAGTCCGGGGCCATCAGCAAGGCCACTGAGTTTTACTGAGTTTCCCAGGCAAAGGCTGCAGCACTGGCGATCTCCTTGTCATCTTGCTCGGGGAACTTAAAATCCTCAGGTCGTCTGGGTCAGATGTCAGGGATGGTCAGGGATGATGCTGGAATACCATGCCGGCACGATGCTTGTGCTGTAAACAACTTTAAGCGTTTCTCCCCCTTCTGTGATCATCTCACGTTTGTTTCACTTATACCGTTTTTGAACGCACACTACGCTGGAAAAAAAACAACAACTATGAACAAATAGGATCATTTTGGGCTCATTCAACTCAAAGAGTATGCTATGTTCAAATATGTTCAACCCAACCCCATCAAAGGATGCCATCTGTTTTGGAGACGTGAAGACGCTCGTGCACGCCACCACTACCGCTGCTCACCACCTGTGGTGGTAAATGCGACATTCAACCACTCCCTTGACATGAGGCTCCCAACTGGCTTGAAATCAGGCAAGAAGTAGCACTCAAAGCCTCAAAGGTGGCTTTGACAAAGCCATCTCTAACGGCAAACATGAAGAATCATGGAATCACGTATTGGCACCAATCGTGGCCCCGGGCTGATGGTGGGAGTTGCCATCGTGGACAATGAGGAGCCTGCAATCTTCTCGCGTTTTCCTTCGTACCTGGTTGACTCAGTAAGAGGCCTTGCGGCCATGCTCTCACTGTGGTTCAATTGCGGCATGAAACCAATAACAAACTTATCCAATGAACCAGCAAGTTGGGGGTCATTGCCAATACCAGAAATACATAGAAATATGGGCATACCGGTATAGGCGGTAACTGGGGATAATTTATCATTGAATTTTCCTCATTATACTGTAATTGCATTTGTTTGTCTATAGTCTATAGTCTATGCTCAGACTTGACTGCTCTATGTTCTGGGTGTTTCTGCCATGTCCCTCTGTTCAAAACGTAACTGTACTGTTACCCACCGGCTGACACCCAACCCAGAGTTGGGGTGTAGGGCCAAGGTGAGCTGGTTCCTGTGTCACTGGGCTGCGAATGAGGTGAGAGATGGGAAGGTTTGTCATCTGTTCTCGGACACGATAACTAATGATGATTAATCCTCATCCCTCATAATCCCCATCATCCCCATCCTCATCCTCCTACTAATCCTCATCATCATAACAATAGTAAATAGTATAAAAAAGATTAAAAAAGGAGGTAATCATCAGTATGATACCAATTATATAAGACATAACAATGAACAAAATTAGATAATCACCTTCATCCTCCCACCCTCCTCCCTCGTTTAGGTCACAAATAGGTTGTGTGATACTTCGACAGGGCAGGGTCAATGCCAATGGTGTCCTCGGTGCCCATCACCGGACATCAGGGATGCCAGGTTTTTTTGGGGCCCTAGCAGCATGGGAATGCGAGCCATTTTGTGGATAATCATTAGTAAGCCCAATCGAAAAAACATGTCTTTTTCAAAGATTGGAGATGGTTACCAATAGGTGCCAAGTTGTCAACCACTCTGAGTTTTGGTCACAGCGGTAAAATTCAAATTCCCATCATCAAAAAAAAACTATCAAAACAACCTCGCCTGCATGGGCGATTCGAACTTCTCCAAGGCACATCCCCTGTGTCTTCCTTGTCTAGATCTGCATCGTCCTCATTGGAGTTGGCCACTTTCCTGGGGTACAACAGGGCATCTGGCAGGGCATACCATTTTGGCATCCCATTTTTGTTGCCAACATACAGACACCACCAGAGCCAGAAAAATGGGTTGGGGACAGCCAGACGGACCCCCAACTGCCAGGATGCTTGGTCTTCGTTGCGTTGCCACAAATGGCTCGCTCCACGGGTTGACCATAGCGAGTCTGCACAGTCGTGGCTGATGGGGGAATGTCCAAAACTGACCAGAAAGGCCATCAGTCATGGGCCATCAAACTCCTGAGTAGTTGGGTTCCTTCAATGTGATGCACCAGAAGTTGGTCCACAAATCCATGTCTGTAGGCATAGACAGATCTATTACAAACCCATCCGCACTGCTATAGTTACAGCCTATAGCCTATAATTATCAAAATGCTACTTAAAATCACATTATGTAACATGTATTATTCACAACTAAAGGCCGATCATGAAGCCGTGGATGGTGACTGGAGGAAGTGGGGCTGACTTTCATGTTTACCCAAGTAAACTAACATAACTATGAAAATCGATGGCTTTTCCCAGGAAATGATCAACAATGGGTGGATTTTTTACACAAATTGGCAATGGCCATGCCATGCCATGCCATGCCGCCATGTCCGGCCAGCTCCCCCCCAACAACAAATGCTGCATAACTTTAGTTCCATGCCATTCTAGGGAATCCCTCATGTTCAGAGACACTCTCAGAGACACTGGTTATATCAAATTATGCCATATGCAATAGACTGTTATATAATATCCATTCTAGTTGGGTATTACGGTAAACCCTATGAATTTTCCATGAAACCCCGTGTCAGTACTCTCCAAGATCCCCTTGATTGGGTCAGTGCTGTATATCTCACCTTCACGAGGTCCAGTCTGAAGGAGCCCAGAAACTCTGTGGGCACCTGGGGACGCGCGGCTCTGAAAGCCTCCGATTTGGGATTATATGAATGGGCTTTCCTGATAATATGTAGGTACCCCAAAATGCAAGGTTTAGAGTGGAAAATTCACAAATCTAGGGTGGGAAAACAAACAATAAACCTACTAGCATCCATAAAAATTGTGATTTTGGGATGGTTTAAGTTTATGAAATAGATTTATCACATTAGCCTCAAACAAAACACACAAAAAGAGGTCTGTAAATTATGTTTAAACCCCATGAGATTGTAGTTTGTAGTAACCTCCGAACAAAAAAAAGTGCCGTAGAACCTGATAATACTTTTCTGTCTGTTTTAATTGGGGATGACTATAACCTCCTAAGGATGATTTTAGGAGGGTTAAGCTAGCGAACATGGGGATAATTCATAGAAAGTAAAGTGGCGTCATCATCCTGTTGGTGAAGGTGAAACAATGCAACAATTGAAACCGCCAACGAGAAAGCATGTTTAACATGGGAAATCAAACTAATGGCAATGGCAGAGAGGTCGCTTTTTCTTTCTCCGTGGAAAGTTGTATTTACCTGAACGCCCCATCATGGCAATAAAATGCAAAGGCTGCCAAGACTGCAAACGCTTATAACGTCAACTCCAAAACCACAAACCCCTGGTTGATACTCTAGGGGCTACTTCCCGAGTGATAAACAAAAACTATGACTAAATCTATATATAAATCTATCATAAACTTGTAATATTCCCCAACATTTTAGAGTGATCAGTGATCATCTATTCTTATAATGTGGGTAAAACAATGTCATAAACCATCCCCCAACTCACCAATTTATGGGTGGTATAAACCATTCCCAAATGGGTGGTTTATGACATTGTTTTTCCCACATTATTAAACAATAATACAATATAATTATATATAATAAATGATTAATGGCTAAGAATGGTTAATATCTATATTATACTCATATCTATATAGTGGTTAATAAAGGTTATTAATGAGCTATCCCAGATGGGTGGTTTATTATTGTTTTACCATGTTTTACCCACATTAGTGAAGTGATATTCCTCCAAGATTGTCCACGAAAATGTCAAGGCACTCCATCCCAATGCCAAATCTCGAGCTCCTGCCAGGAAAACTGAACCGGGCCAGCTGACGCCGAAAACAGCAAAAAACTGTAGCAATCCCCGCCCAAAAAAAGGAGAGAATAGTCACATATATATATACATACATAATCATATGTGTATATATATATATATATATATGTACACATATATGCATACACACACATATATATATATGTATTATATTATATATACATGTGTGTGTGTGCGTGCGTGTGTGTGTGTGTGCGTGTGTGTGTGTGCGTGTGTGTGTGTGTCATGTATGTATATATATATATATACCACTAGTTTCAATGGGATTTTTTTTGGTGCCTACAAGCCTACAAAAAGAGTAAATATATGTAATTATGAACAGCCAGAAGGAAATGAACAGTTTGGTAGACATAGTCACTCATTCACCTTGCTATCTGAACATCTGAACGTAATTTGGGTAATTTCACATATTGAACATGGCCATTTATAGTTGATTCACCTAGTGAAAATGGTGATCCAAAGCTGACTTAGTTTACCGGCTATCACCATCTATCACCCCCGGGTGACAACCCGCAGGACCAAGGCTCCAGGAAACCTTTGGATCTCATCTCTTCTGGGAAAATGTTCTTCTTGTACGCCTGGACGGTCCAGAATTTACCAAGGCATGTTGTGAAAGTGGAACACGGATGGCAAAAACCCCCCAACAGCAAATCTTCAGTGATGTTGAAGCTCGAATCATTTACAATAATGATTCAATACACTTATGGCCATGGCTATTAGTTATAACTGGTTATTTCTATTGGATTATACTATGATTATACCTTGCATTGCATTTCTATATGGGCTTTTTGTTAACTGGTAAAGGTGACCCTGGCCGTCCTGATCTTTGTAGATCACCGGGTCTGTGAAGCGAACGGGGAGGTAGAACATATGATCTCGGCAGCAGCGGGCCGTTTAGAAACAGCAAAAATTGAATAAATACTAGGGTTTAGCATCTATTATCGAATTATCTATTTAATCTATCATTTATAAATGAATATTTAGATCCATCTATTATCATCTGTTATCATCTAGGTACAGCAAATGAATAAATATAGTAAAACATGATAAATAGATATAAATTGATGATAATATTAGTAGATGGATATAGATGGATAATTAGAACGGATAGTTATTTGATGTTGTTTGGATAGGTAGACAAACAAAGAGGTGCGTATATAAATAGACGGATCGGGCAAGCAGACAGGACATCAAGGTAGATAGATAGGTAGTCAGATAGATGGGGCAAATAGAAAAGGACAGAAAGGTAGATAAATAGATTTTATACCTAGATTTTATACCATCCATCACCTCTGAAAACCGTCCCAACCACTAATAACCAAACATCACAAATGTATACAAATGTTGGGAACCCATGCGCGACCAATGAATGAAGGATCCCCCCAAAACTCAAAGCTAATTCACTACAAGCTTGACCTGTTAAGCAACATTCAGACCCGAGGCATCCCCAAAAACCGGGTGGTTTATGATCAGATCATTTTCCCAAGTTCGGGGGTAAAATTCCAGTGGTTGTTTTTTGGGGTGTCCTGCTGATAATTAGAACCCAGAGTCATAGTAAATTATGGGATATTGTAAGATATTGTTCTGATGTATCCCGATGTATGTCTAAAAAATGACCCCTTGACCGCCTTGACCAGCCAGGTATGCCCCTACCTATAGGGATCCAATCCCTGACAGTATGATTGGGGGTACCAATCACATCCTAAACACATGGTATCGGCCTTAAAATATCATCCGGAAAGGAGATGACTGGATTCCTACAATATCCATCAATATTCTACAATGTGGGGCTCCGAAGGTAGCTGAGTTGCTTTGTAACTACAATAACTAGGGATTAGTAACTAGGGTTTATAGGGGATATATCTATAGTCCCTTTCCCCAACCCACCGCGGCATAGCACACCCAGGTGCTCCAAATTGGCGTCAATGAGGCCATGATCACGGGAGACTGCTCCACGGTGCCGTCGTATTTCACGCGGACGAACCTGAGGGGTTTGTCAAAGTTCAACACCTTCTGATCAGTTTACAAAGCCATGGAAAAGATTGGAACATGGCCCATGAACATCATTGAAAGTAGGTTCCAATAAGGCCAAAAAACTGAACCTCTAGATTCGAATCCTCATTCAACATCATTCAACACCATCTGATTATCATCATAGCGAAACATGTTGGGATAAACCCGCGTTTATCAACCCACCGTTTTTGTCAATCCTATCTATCTTATTCCTACCACGGCCACCATCGACACATATCGACACTGTCTGCCGCTCAGTAGACGGATTGGAGGATCCATAGTCCGGATCCGCAACTGGCAACCCATCTGCACTATTGGCCTGAGCATGTGATTGTGGAGAAATGGGCCGATCAATGCCAACACGTTTCCCCAAATTGAATCTTTGCCCATGGATACTGTTTATTTAGACCCCTTGTTTCATGGCTCGAACCTGTCATGGTCATAGCACATCACCCTTTCTGAGATGCTTTGGAGCGGCAATCACCACCAGGTGCTGCTGATTGGCTTGCAAGTAGTACATGGTCAGCCTGCCGCAGGTGAAACCAGGGCTGTAGATCAGCCAGCATTCATCAAGTTGATTTGAAATCACAAGCCCAAAAATATGAGAATAGCAAATACATGTATGTATATATATATATATTGCATATACTTACAAATAAGATCAAACAAGTACAGTACATACATGACATATTAATTAACATATGATCTGATTTGAACATCTTCATCAATCTCATATGTTTAAACGCCGCATGGTGCTGGGCCGGGGATCCGAACGAGTTCAGGTCTTGCAAAGGTCTGGGGATGGATGAGTCCTGGAGGCTGGTCCCTGAGGGGCCGAGAGAGCCCAGGCTCAACCAACACGCCTGGGAAATCCATCAAACGTATGGGAAAACAATGGAAAACATGGGAATCATCTGTGTATGGAGGTTTCTAGCTGGGAAAATCGTTGAACAAATTGGGAGGGTGTCCAGCACGCCATGTTTGCAGATTCTTGGAGGGTACCATTATCTATGAGTCTATCCCTGGTCGTGGTAGACAGTATGGGAATGATCCTCAAATCCACCAGGTAGTGGAAAAAATGATCTATAAATAAGTTGTAGCTGTATGGGTCCAAAATCAGGAGAACGATGGAGAAAGGCCATTGCAATTTATTTATATATATATATACATATCAATGCTCTTAAGCCTTAGATACGTATGTTGAAGACTCACAAGCATCAAGTGGACGTTAACCTGTTTGGTGGTTTTACACACATATCAACGCATGGATGAAATAACATTGGTCAATTGGAGACCAACCGAGCATGTTCTTGGAGACCAACCCCTCCGGTGTCCTCATCGTTTTGCCCAGGCTGGCAGGGGCGGTTGGCATCTCGTCCCCCACTAAACGTAGCCCTATTTTGAAGTTGGCCAATTAATGCCAATTAGATGTTTAATCCCTTTTAAATTAGAATTTAAACAGGAAGGTCCCATTTGAGGGGTGCACCCCCCAATAACGAAAACTAGTCAACCTCTGGAGCGTTTTTTGTTAAGGTCCGTCCTTTGCAATCGAAAATGTTAGTTTTTTTACTTAAGATTACTTAAGCTTGTTTAACTTAATATGAAGGCAACCTTCGAAATTCAATTTTCGGCAAAATCTTAACTAGATGATTTGGATTTTTAAAAGCAAGGTTTTAATTTTAATGTTGGGGGAACCTTCGAAATCCTTTTTTGCAATAGTTTGATTTAAATTTTAGAAAGGCATTTAATCGAATTTAAGATAGAAAGTCATCGTTTTTTGCTTTTTCAAGGTTTTAAATTTAGTATTAAGAGGAAGCTTCGCAGCCTAATTTTCATACCACCTGATTCCACCTGATACTAAAAACTCCTCCAGGTGTTTATTATAACGGGGGTGGGGACGGTTTAGTATAGGGGGAGAGGATTGGAATAGTGGTGAAATTTAGCGGTAGGCATGTTTTTGTATAAAGGGTATTAGAACCGCACGAGAACACAAAAATTCACAAGTGTTTAGCACCATGAAATGCATGGGGCCCTTTAGGACATTAGGAATCACAGCCGCGGAAGGAATAATGACAGGAGCACCTATCAGGATCGACCAAACATCTCGAGTGCTGTTCCTCATCTGGAAGATGATCAACCAGTTGAACATGATGGTTTCCCACTGCCATGTTTCTTCCTGAAAAGCTACACAATTGATAGGAAATCCATGGAACTCCTGACGCTGGTTACTACGCTGGTTGGCTCAAAGCAGCACTGTGGTGAACTTGGTGGAATGTCTAGAGACCCCCAGTCATGGGACCCACATTTCCATGACACTGATTATGATTGTGGCAATATGATATGTCCAATTTCCATCAATTTCCGATAAACTCCAATCGCATCCTGGTACAAAGCCATGCTGGTTGGAGAAATCTCTCAATCTATATAGATAGGGTGGGGAGATGATTGAAGATTGGACACTAGGATTACTGAGAACTGAGCCCCAGCAAACACCGCCCAGTACACCAGTTTGTCCTTTTAAGGGGATTCACCATTGTGTGTCTGTCTTTCCCAAGGGGGTTCACCAACATAAACATGTGAAATCCCCTTCTTATACCACCCAAAAAAAATAGATAAGGAACACAGCCTACTAAACTAACTATACTAGAATATATAGTGGTGAGTTGGAAATGTCTACAACGTGGGGCCCCCAAACGATAGCTAAGTTGGTCCGTAAACTCCAATCACCACAGCTTTTCTAGTTGCGGACGTTTATGGCAATTGTAAGTTTTAGCACACTATAGTATTCATGAAGTTTCTAAATCAACTAATATAGATGATTGTGTCCCGTTTAAACAATTTAAGCCTCCATTTAGTTCGGACATTTTTTCCCGCTCGCCACGTTGGAGACTCCATCCACCTTAGCGGCTACCCGTCGCCTTCAATGCAATGGATCGCATGGCCATGGAGATGGACCCTCCGGCGCGGCCCTGCCTAAGACGCAGAACTGGACAGCTTGGGGGCTTAGCGAATATAGAAACACTATAGAATGCATAAATATACAATTGTCAAATACATAATAATAATATATATATATATACCTATGACATACACATATTCTCCATGGCCATCGGGTACAGCGAGGGCTGAGGCCAAGCAGGTTTAGCATTTCAGATGGACTTCAAACATGTGGATCGATTTGGTGATACAGACGAAAGTGACCTGTTTTCCCAGGTTTTTCAACAAATGACGATGGGACACTAGGGTTCAAAAGACTTCTGGAGCGCATGAACATCCTTTCTTTTTTGAAGAAAAACATGTGAGAAGGAATGTTTGTAGTTGGCATTATCTTCGGTGTCCCTGGACCTATAATAACAAATGAATCTGTCCACTGCAACAAAACTTGGGAATCCATAGATCCACATTTCAGAATTAAGAAGTGCCTGATTGCCGCCTTAGAATTAGATTACTGGTAAAGAATATATGTAGTAGGTGCGAGTCAATCCGCACGCTCTACAGGACTAAACCCTGCAGAGGCAACCCCAGGAATGGGCCCTCTCTACATCTGCAAAGCAACATAAAGCAGGGATTGTCTAACCTTCAGTGACCAGTCCTTCACTGGCCATAAGTAGCAGCTGCGACAGGCTCCCCCACACGTACTCTAACGTCTTGGTCGTGAGGGTCTTGACCTTGGGAATGCAACGTGGTGATCCAGCATCACACTGTAAAATCCCATATGCAGCTATGCATAGACTATATTCTGCCAATTCAAAGCGGGAATTACTCCATGCTTATCCGTTTCCAGGTTAATATCTACATGGTGATCATGGTGATGGGCCAATAATGCCAATATCATCAACACCAACAACCAGAGTTACTCTCTGGTTATTCAAGAAAGCCATGGAAAATGGCTGCTTGATAGATGAATTATCATAATAATATATAATAATGATGTACCAGGTTTTCCAATGAAAAAATGGTGACATCACCATCAACATAGCAAAGGGTATCCCATTAATCTCCCATTAAATCCCTATTTTTAAAGTTTGTTTTACATGTTTAAACTATTTTACCCACTAAAAATGGTGAAATCTACACATAGACATATACATATACGTGTACGTACACATATACATACACACACATATGTATATATGTGTATATATATATATGTATGTAACTATAAAACATTATATATAAAACATTATATATATATCATATATAGCACAATTGTTCATTATGAAGCTAGGTAGCTAGGCCTCCGTGCCACGCCCACTGCGATGGGATAATCCATGGCACCTCTAAGCCCTACCAGAGCCTGGTGACGGTGGTGCTGTGGGATTTACATGGAAAAACCAGGGGCTGCTATGGGATTTATATGGAACAATGAAAAATAATGGGAGGATCATGGGATCTTTTGGTTGACATTGCTTCACTTGTTCTGTAATAGGACAATGCAATATCTGGGCATAGTCACTAGTAATTCACTAGCATGAAAAAACTGCCACATTCGGATAATTCATGATACGCCGCTGTACTAAGAATCATTAATTACAGTGAGGTCGCTGGTTATAATCCAAAGGATTTATTGGATCACAGAGGGGGAATCGTGGGATAAAAAAATGGAATTTCATGTGATGACCTCTGGTAATTTGAACTGCTGGTGAACTGGAAACGACCACCAGTACGAACAAGGAAATCATCAAACTAAATGGGCTATAGTTGCATAGCTACGAATATGTTCGTCTACTGGAGGGTACGTCTGGTGCAGTAGCTGGAACAAGTCATAAAACGCCACCACTAGTTGGGCACATGATCGTCCAATGAAAAACGTCCGGGAAATGACCCATTTCCAAATCAAAGCATCAGCTTCTCTAGATGGGCCACTCATCCAGTTACAACCAGTTACGACCAAATACACACACAAGCACGCACACACACACACATACAGTATATATATATATACATATATATAATGTCCACATGCGATTAATACACCCCCCGCAATTAAAGTACGCCAACTCCCAGAAAAGATTAATAACTCACCCCCCCGTAATAAAGTCCGCCAATCGATTTTTGATATGTTTTTTCTCTGTAGTTTTTTTTTGTTCCGTTTGTTTTTTTTTGTTTTTTCAGGTAGCCCTGGAGCCACTAACATCAAAATAATAATTGAATGTTTGCACACCCCTAAATAAAGTATTTGGATTTCAGGGGTCCAATTTTTTGTCGGATTCGTTTCTCAATTCCTTTCCTATTTGAACCATTCGTTTTCAATTGGGCAATTCATTTGGGAATACTAAAAATGGAAAGAAAGTTCACTTATGTATTCGTTTTCAATTAGGCAATTCATTTGGGAATACTAAAATGTATGCGTTTTCAATTAATTAGGCAATTTGTTCGGCGCCACATAGGTCTGTTTTCCTTTCCAGGGACCCCTGGGCAATGTTTGGCCTAAACTTTATTTTGATGCTCTTAATGTTTGGGGGTGTACTAATCATATGTGAACATTATATATAATATATGTATATGTGTATATAAATGTATATATATACACACATATATGTATATAAATAAAAAAATAAATACAAACCGTTGTGGGCAAGCCGTACAACGTTCCATCATTCTGGATAAATTATAGTATGACACCTAATCTAAAAAGTTCGGCCGCTATTTTCCATAGCTATGTTCAATGGATTGGTTTAAGGGAAAATGTATAGGAAAACCCCATATTTAATGGGAAAATCTATGGTTTCCGGTTAAGATGTTCCCTTAAACCAATCCATTGATATGTCAAATTACAAGAGGATTTACCACCATGTTTTCCGCTGCGGGCCTTCCCTTGGGGCTGAAAGCCGCCCTCACCCTCCTTCAAGACCTGACAAAACAGTCTAGCCAAATTCATACCACGGAAACCAAAAGGCATGGTACTTTATAATGCAGGAAACCAAATCCTTTGTTATCAGGCATGGTTCTATACATGGTTTGTTTGTTTTAACATCTGTGAAACTGTATTTCTTTAGAAATTCTATGGGCTTTATCATTTTTTCAACTTGATGTGTCCACGAACCTTTTTCTCTGAGGACGGGTATTTACATAGATGATTGTCCTGGAACTTGTTTTTTTTACGTGGATCCGTCAGACCCATATCAATCATATCAAAGTATGATTTTGTCTAATATTCTATCTTCAAATGTCCGCACCATTCTCTTTGACGTGTTTCATGCCAGTTTTGCGGGATGTGCTTAGGCAACCGCTGCAATGAGCAAGACACCCCTCATCGATAATAATGTGGGACTCTTGACCGTAATGTGAACCAACATGGGATATGAACCCCTCCTGTTTGGATTGGACCAACGCTATTCCCTCCAGAAAAAAATGCCTTCGATTCACCCAAAGAGATCCGATGGAGCTTGTTCAGGTATTAAAAAACAACTGCAACCTATAACCTATACCTTAGGCAAACCCACGACTTGGGGCAATCTGAAGCATGAAACAAAAGCTTGAAAGCAGACTGTGCCAAGATAATCCAAGATATTTACTGATAGAAATAGCGTAGAAATGCGTAGAAATATCAGGTGAAAACACAAATGTAGCAATCAGGTTCGCGAGGGCCCTCGAGGCTTCTGGAACTCGCCCAAAACACTGGGATTTCAGGCGTCAATGGTGAGGACTTCATTGTTTAAGCTTTCCTGGTTGGCAGTGAGGCAGCTATGTTCTAGCGATTGAACTACATTGTATATATATAGGTATATGTATATATATATACACATTTATTCAATGATTTACTTTTTTAATCCAATTATTTATATGCATAATTCACTGTGCGTGCACACATGTGTATATATATATATATATATCACGCAGATACATACGCATGGTCAATCTTAGATAGCTTTCAGAAAGGTTATCCTTTAGCTGGTAAGCCCATGCTGAAACAACTTCAGCTACCAAACACAGGCTGACTGACCGGAGTTGAATCCAACCTAGCAATCCGAAATCGCCATATCTAATAGACGAATCATCTGCCCATGGTCCATGTTCCACGGGTGGTTGGGGGTTGCTCTGGTCAAAATGATCCAATCATATCCAATCCCCTTTTGCGCGAGTTTAGCAGGAATTTGTTTCAACTTTGGCAGTCCTCCCTGTAGTTTTCCACATGTTTCCACTTTCTGACCGCTCAGCACTATAATTTGAGCTATTCAAGCTGCTACATGATCCAATAATGCCAGCCAACTTCCTCAACCCAATAGAATTTGAGTCAACAATCAGCATGGGAACATCACTGATTGAATCATCCAAATTCATTCCAATATGTGGCTCAGCCCTGCATCATCTGTCTCAGAAATTGGAGACCCAAACAGGACCCCTTCGGACTCGATCCTTGGTGCCTTTGTACACAAACATGCCGCCCTGGCGCGAGCTTAACTTGGATATGCCTGAGAAAATGATAGCCTACCATAGTCTACCATGTTGTCCGCATGAAAAACCTTGCCATTTTGGGGCACAGCCCTTTGAAAAAGACATGGCATGCCCATTTGAGCTTGATCCGTGGACCCTGCTGGCTCTCCTGCACAAGTAGCCCATGAAAGTGGACAATTGAAGGCATCAACCATTAGCATCAAGGCATTGGGGTGATCTGAAAGCTTCTGGAAATTCATGAGAAGTTCGTCACACATAGATGACAATTTTCAACCACTGAATAGCATTGAATAGCTTCATACCATCTCATGCTTATCAGAGATAAAATCCAAACCATCACAGCCATCATATCCCATGAGGCCATCCACTTGAGACATGGTGTGGAAGCAACCCCAGCATACCCCAGCTACATGGGGAAATAGATTAATGATTAATGGTTTTCTTTGGGTGCAGGACCCATCATTGTAATTGAGATTTGAATCCCGTTTGGGATACTGATACTACCCCTTTACTAACCATCATTCACGCAAACATCATTCTGTTAGCCGTTGAAATCTCCTAAACTACCCTAGGCTTGTGAAATTGAGGGCTGCCTTCTCCTCAGCAATAAACCCCTATGACAGGGCCCCAAAAACCATAGACCCAATACGACCCAAGATTGAACCACGCTTCCAAGGTGGGTATGTAATCTCAGAGGCACGCATTTATATAGCCAATTAGGAACGGGAGTTGCAACATATAATTTGCATGTGATGTTCCCATTCCCATCCCCCTAATACCTAGATAGGTGTTGCATACAAAAATTACCTGATTCCCAAACGGCATGTTTTTTGACGTGGCCCGGAAATTTTGACGCAGGACATCCAAAAATGACGTTGCCAAAGGTCAATGGTTGTGAGGGCTGTGGAACTATGGCTCACTATGCATACGCTTGACTGAAAAAGAGGTGGTCCCAATACCCTGAACAGTACAAAACTCGTTTTCTCCATGGACTCTGCAAGTCCATGAGCAGCAAAAATAGTGGGAGATGAATTCTGTCATGGTTCCGGGAAATTACGCCGTAATGTTTGGGAATTACGACGGCAACTTTTGGCAATGTTTCCATTAGTCCATTAGTTTTTTTTTTCTGGAAAAACTAAAAAAAACGAACCCAAGTTCCAAGACATCGCACCAATTTAAGTGCACATCTTTGCCTTTAAGAAACACTCCCTTGGAAACCATGGAGTTAGGGAATTTCCACATAATTGGACCATACAATGTTACAATGGGGGGTGTTTAATATTTTTTGGACGGGATTATTCCAACTAAAAATTATGACCCAAGATGCCCAGAACTGATTAGTGACTAGCCCGCTGGATCTCACCCATCTTGGCGGTCCCCTGGGTGTCCCTGACACGTGCCCAGCTATAGACTGGTGGCTCGCACTCTTCCGTTTCGAAGGTGTCGGCGCTCTTCTTGGGACCTGGTGACCACGACTTCGCCGTTGTCGCCGTTGCGACGGCGCAACGCATGTGGGAAGTACACACATAATAAACTTTGGAAACCAGCAAATGTGGGAAGTAGGGATCGCCCTGATCTAATCAACAGAAACAAGGGTTAGTTAGATATTCATCAGTCATGTATTCCTGATGTTGTTTTTATTTTGGTAACCTTTGAGTGGGGATTTGTGCCCAAAACATTCAAAGTTGAAACAATCCATTGCTCAAAAACCACCTAATGTCAACCCTGGATTAATAACCCCTAGGTTGTTTCATTGGGGGGATAGCATTTAAGTATCAGAATATGATTGTTAGGGGAGTACCCCCCTAAGTAATAAACCATGGTTTATTAATCCGGGGTTGACATTATATATAATATCTATTGATGGAACGTCAATTTATGCATTTCACATGACCACGAAGCATATCATGCGTGCACATAAGTACATACATACATACATACATACATACATACATACATACATACATACATACATACATACATACATACATACATACATACATACATTACATACATTACATACATACATACATACATACATAGATACAGACATACACACATACACACATACATACATACATACATACATACATACATACATACATACATACATACATACATACATACATACATACATTACATACATTACATACATTACATACATTACATACAATACATACATTACATACATTACATACATTACATACATTCCATACATTCCATACATTACATACATTACATACATTACATACATTACATACATTACATACATTACATACATTACATACATTACATACATTACATACATTACATACATTACATACATTACATACATTACATGCATTACATGCATTACATCCATTACATACATTACATACATTACATACATTACATACATTACATACATTACATACATTACATACATTACATACATTACATACATTACATACATTACATACATTACATACATTACATACATTACATACATTACATACCTTACATACATTACATACATTACATACATTACATACATTACATACCTTACATACCTTACATACCTTACATACCTTACATACCTTACATACCTTACATACCTTACATACCTTACATACCTTACATACATTACATACATTACATACATTACATACATTACATACATTACATACATTACATACATTACATACATTACATACATTACATACATTACATACATTACATACATTACATACATTACATACATTACATACATTACATACATGACATACATTACATACATTACATACATGACATACATTACATACATTACATACATTACATACATTACATACATTACATACATTACATACATTACATACATTACATTACATTACATTACATTACATTACATTACATTACATTACATTACATACATTACATACATTACATACATTACATACATACATTACATTACATTACATTACATTACATACATACATACATACATACATTACATACATACATACATACATACATACATTAATGTGTATATATATATATACATATTAATGTGTATATATATATACACATTTGCAAATACAGCATACCGCACATATGTATACCTGCTGTTAATTCAATGGCAATTTCAAGAACCTAAATTGGAGGTACCATATATATATATATATATGTATGTGTGTGTGTGCGCGTGTGGTATGGTCGATGTACAGGCCGTGTAAATGGGTACACTTATATATATATATGTATGCACCCGAAAAGATTGCATTAAATCGTACAGTACCTCCAGTATAGGATATGGGATTTAAATTAATTTTATATCTAGGGGCTATCTATACCATATCACGCCGTAAGGTAATTTAACATAGCTATTGTAAATGGCCATTTAAAATTGATTTACCAATTGAAAAGGGTGATTTACCATAGTCTTTTGTATGTTTACCAGAGGGTATCCGTTGACCGTGGATGACCATGGATATGACAATGGCCTGTGGGAATGCCCAGGCGTAACTTCTTCTTGGTCTTCGTGTCCGCGAGCTCGGGTTTGGGGAGAAACTGCCAGTTGTTTAGAGCCTGAGCAGGGAGGGCGGTGGAGAAAACCAAGATGCGGTCATTGAGGGATCATAACATCCCAGTGATATGGTTGAAACATGTTGAAACTGATGCTGCTGCTGCTGCTGGTGATGATGATGATGATGATAGTAAAAATAAACACATGTAATCCGTATGAGTTTGACACCGTCAACCAGATATGGAAAACGCATGAAAACGCCAGGTTTCCCAGGGAGCATGTCCTGCAAACAGCGAGTATTCCAAAACTATATTAATCTACCGAAGGATTTCACAGACTTGGAGGAAAGGACCACTACTAATTATTTCCAGGACACAACCATGTTCACTGTTCAATGGTTAACAAATATAGAACACACACAAACACACACACACATAGAGACACCCACACGCACAGTCTCCGGAAACCTACTACATCAACCTGCGCACAGTGACACCATGTGACACCTTTACACTCTTACGTCCTGAGACAGAAGGGGGAGCAATGCTGGGACTCTTCCCAACAGGTCATGTCAGGTCACTAAACCCACACAACAAATTGGAGGAATGTGGTAGGTCCAAGAATAAATGATCCCAAAATCACCGCAAATGGGCAGTACAAATCATCCCAAAATAGCAGGTTTATGATATTGTTTACCATTAATTTAGGTCTACGTACGATTATGTACTTGGGAAAGTCAACTGGCAGCACCATAGAATGCCATAGAGCTCCTCCCACAGCTACTGCTGGGACTTCGAACGATATCAAAGCGCATCACCTGCGGGAAGAGATGGCGATGGTGGTGAAACCAAATTTCATGGTGATGGATACTGGTTGACCATTGATTTTCATAATAATTTTCCCTATGAGAAAACAGCCAGTTTGGGAGAGAGAGTGAGGGAGAGAGAGAGGGAGAGAGGGAGAGTATATATATATATGTATGCATGCATGCATGCATGCATATGTGTATGTGTATGTGTATGTGTATGTGTATGTGTATGTGTATGTGTATGTGTATGTGTATGTGTATGTGTATGTGTATGTGTATGTGTAGTGTATGTGTATGTGTA